TATTAATACATATAAGATAAATTCTTTTGAATAAACTGTTTTCAAAAACCTATTATCTTATTTACTTCTCTAGGGGTAAATACTGAAATCTTAGAATAAGACATAGTAGAACCTATAGCAGATTAATAATTATTACAACAAATTATTACCTCTTCAATATCTTCTGCATCTTGCTTATCTAATATATCACCTGACTCATCTTTACCAGAAATCATGGACATAATAGGAATTGAAATGAGAGCTATTTTTTAAGAAGTTTTTGAAAATAATGGAGCACATTTGATAGAATGACTCAGATTAGCTTAAAGAGTAGAAAGGTTCACAATTAAAATTAACTATTTCTCAGAAGCTAAAAATAAAGATCTTGTAAAATGGTTTACTGCATTTGAAAGAACTATAATTACTAATAGATAGGTAACTGAAGTAAGAAAAAAGGTCATTACTAGAGGATACCTTAAAGATGCAGCTGCTGATTAGCTCAATAGTGTAACTGCTGCTATAGGAGATAACTGAAATATAGGAATGAATGGTAGATAAAATTTTGTAGATCTATTTAAAACTTGATTTATTAGTGAAAATAGAAAGAATTAATAGTATTAAGAAATGACTTCCTTGTGACAACAAATAGATGAATCTGTAGATTCTTATACTAATAAATTTAAGAAACTAGTGACTCATGTGGGATTAACTGATAATACACAAAAGAAAAGAATGTTTCTTATAGGACTTAACCCTGCCTATACTCCTTTAGTTTACTCTCAAAATCCAGTTGATTTAAATGCTACTATAAACTCTATACGAACTATTAAAATTGGATATAACTTTATCTCTAAGAAAGTACCCAAGGATATTAGTACTACCATAGCTTCTACTTCTAAAAATATAGTTATTAATGCTAAAATGGATGAACTCATTAAGAAATTAAAACTACTATCTATTAACTATGCTAACTTAACAACTGCTCTGTTAGCTCAATTTCAATAATCTCTAAAAAGATAAACTGAGCGAACTTATAATAATATTATTAGGAGACCTAGATAAGATATACCTCTTATAATTTATTATAATTGTAATAAAGAAGAATACATAGCTAGAAATTGCTCTCAATCACATTAACAATCTGAAAAAAATAATAGGAGACCTTATTATAATAATACAAGAGATATACATTTAGCAGACCAATATTATGATAAAGAAGAATATAAAGTTTACTTAAACACTAAATCTGAATCTTATTTTAGTAATACTGTTTCTAAGAATAAAAGAGAATTCGTAAAAATTCAAAAATCATCTAGAACTTTAATTATTAAAAACTTAGAAATAGAAGAACATATATCAGAACCAGTATCTGAAAAACTCCTTGGTGAAGGTTATTGCCTGCTTCTATTAAACAACTAACTGAATTTAATGTCTTAACCTATTTGTAAAATTTACCATGTAGACTTTCAGTTAACCAAGCTATGCATGCTATTTATAAATATTATTCTGGATTAGTTCAAGCTATTAGACATTTAAGGAAAAAAGCTACTAATAAAACTAAAGAAATCAATTTAGTAGAAAGTGATGATAAACTAACCTCTATTAAGAAATGTATCTTAAAGATTAGACAAAAAGCTCAAACTGTTATTATCAATAGTGAAGCTATTACCAGTATTATAACTAAAGCTTTAGTTAAAAAGCTAGAATATGAAATGAATTGACTATCAAAAATTATAGTAGTAACAGCAAATAGTGCTAGAACTCGTTCTCTTGAAATTATTAATAATATTCTAGTAAATATAGAAAAATTAAAATACTTACGCTTTTGAATCTAGAGATGAGATTCTTATATTTGGCAATAATTAGCTCAGAATAACTAATGCTATTATGAGCTGAAAACAATTGATTTTTACTATCAAATGAGATGGAATTACTATGAAAATTTCTATTGCTTCACTAAAATAGCTAAAGTTGTAATTCAAGAATCTGAAGATGAATATGAAAATAATGAATATGAGGATGAAAATTTAGAAGAATATCCTATTTATTTATCTGACAATGTTGAATCTGAAGAATCAGATTTGGATGATGAACTAGGATTTAACATTTAGTCTGACTATTATTTTCCTGTTTAATCTAAAGAGAATATTGATGATAATAAGAAACAAAATGACTTAGTAAAAGATAATTCAGCTACTTACCTTGCTGAAATCACTGGATACATAATTGAAACTTATCTAACTTATCTAAAACCTTAGATTACCACTAACAGCAAACTTTTATGAATCTTTTAAAAGAATATTATAATATTTGTGTAAGAAGTCAAACAGAGATAGGATGAATAACAGAAATCAAACATCGTATTTTTACTGGAATAACGATGTTAATTACTTAAAAACTATATTGAACAAATCCTGAAAATATTAGGTTTTTGAATCAAAAATTAAAAAAAAGATGGAAACAAATGGTATAATTTGATTCTCTTATAATCTCTGAGCTTTACCTGTTATAATCATAAAAAAGAAAGGAGGAGAGAAGAGATTATGTATCAATTATCAAAAAGTAAATGCTGTCACAAAAATTGATACATATTCATTACCAAGAATTGATGCTTACTAGATTCGTTAGATGGAGCAAATTGGTTTACTACTCTCAACTTAGCTAGTGATTACTGGTAAGCAATGCATCCTGATAATATTGAGAAAACTGCATTCATCACAGTGAATGAATTATATGAATTCTTAATCATACTCTTTGGATTAAACAATACACCTGAAACATTTTAAAGACTTATGAATTGGGTTCTTAAAGACTTTTTTAAACTATTTATATCAGTTTATCTGAATGATGTAATCATCTATACAAAAGAACCTTTTAAATAACATATTGATCACGTTAAATAAGTATTTTAAACCTTTAGAGATACTCATCTCATGATAAAATTAAAGAAATGCTACTTTTATTAACCTTATTTAGCATTCTTAGAACATATTGTAAGACAAGAAGGAATTCAACCTAATCCAGAAAAGATCAAGAAAATTGAAGAATTTTCAGAACTAAAAAGTTTAACTCAACTATATGCTGCTTTAGGATTATTTGGATATTACTGAAAATTTATTAAAGATTTTGCACAACATGCTAAACCTTTAATCTTGTTACTAAAGAAAGACTAGTCTTTAGAATGGAAAGAGAAATAACAACATGCCTTTAATTGACTAAAGAAGAGGTTTATTAAGGTACTAATTTTACAATACCTAAATTTTGATATACCTTTTACCTTATATACCGATGTCTTAAAGAAAGGATTAGATGCTATACTATTCCAGAAAAAGGATGAAAAAGAATATGTAATTGCATATGCTAGCAGATCAACTAATAGAACTAAGGAAAATTACCTGATTACTGATTTAGAATATTTAGTGATTATTTGGTTAATAAAACATTTTTATCATTACTTAAGTTGATCATTTACTGTCATAATAGACCATGTAGCTTTAAAATGATTAAAACTTCAAAAATACTAAAGGGAAAACATGTTAGATAGATAATGAAACTACAATAACATCATTTTACCATAGAACATAGAGCTAGAAAATATAATGCAAATGCTGATACATTGTCCTGAATGTATGATGAAGAAACTGCTGAATGTTTTATTATAGATCTTATTGAAACAGATGTGACAAATGATGAAGATGAAAATAATAGTATAAGAGATCCAAAAGAAAATATAGAATGGTATATTTCTTCTTCTGAACCTGTAGAAAAATGTTTAATCTATGTTTATTTTTAATCTAAACTTCACCACAATTTCTCAAAAAAGTCTGTAATTATACATATAGTGTGCATGAATTTAATTTTTATTTCAAAAATCAAATTTATGTTAAAAAAATGATCTGCAAAAATTGGCCAATCATAATGAAAGCCCGCTAATGCTGGTTAAATAATGTGCGTGATGTTTGTTTTTTTTCAGGAGACGGTTTTTGGTTAGGTGTAACGCCGTTATTTGTGACCGACGTGGCTTAATCTGTCACACATTCTGGACGTGATATATTTTATTATTTTAGACGCGTCAACATCTCATTTACATATTTAAGCAAATTAACGTCCATACAATTAGTATCTTTCTGATTCTTACCTTCAAAATATTTTTTATGTCTAGTTCTAAAAATGAAAAATTCGCTATTGAAAAAGTAAAATAAAGTTTAACAAACAAAAAGAAAACGACAAAAATTCGTAACGGTGAGTTTGTATTTAATTTCATCTGAAGGAGGATGACAGAGTGCGTCTTAAGGATTCCTGGTTGTTGCCTGGGTACTTGATTGTTTAGTATATTCTTAAATATACTTTTGAAGTAAATGCGGAGTCTGTCAATTGTCACTGTTTTAATATACTTGCTTCAAGTGCTTATTAAGGATTCCTTTGGCTGCGCTAGCTTAGTATATTCTTAAACAAACTTTTGAAATAAATGCGGAGTCTGTCAATTGTCACTGTTTTAATATACTAAAACTTTTCTTATCAACTTTGATAATAGCTGCTGAAATTCAAACTAATATTGTTGAAACTAAAATCAAAACGTTCAATTGGAGTTACCTAACTAAAGAATTTTGTATAAAAAAAAATTGTTTTGGTAAGTTTTTATTTATTAAGTATGTTTTTGTCTATTTTTAAATCTTTCTAACGGAATTCAATTTTTTAACTCGTCATATTTAACAGATCATTCCGAATGGACGCATTATCGTTTAGTGATATTATTTATTTTTATTTAGATATTTTTTTTTTTTTTTATTTATTTTTCCATTTTATATCCTTAAATTTCTTCCAAAGAAAAAAAAAAATTTAGGGTAGAAATATTTTGTGAACTTCGACGAAAATTTATTTAATTTTATTCTTTTTAAATCGAATCAAATTTCAATCGGGTTTGGATGATTAAATTTTCTTATTTTTTTTAAAAAATAAGTTGCGTACAACAGAGTAGGGCTAACTCAATATTTCTCTCATCGAGAGGCAGAACAAGTTTAATGCAACCTTTGAGCTGGTATTCAGAAAATAATGTGATCGTTCGCACAAACGAAAAGACGATCAAAATCGACACACCACAAAATGTGAATGGTATCTCTGCGAGTGGAACATCTGTACCTTACGAAACCTGTATATTGTCCACCGGATCCTATGCATTTGTACTGCCGATTCCTAGTTGAGATATACCTGGTATATTTGTGTACTGTACCATCAAAGATTTGACAGATATCATAAGTTATAGTAAAATTTCCAAATGTGGTGCCGTTTTCAGTGATGGTATATTGGTCTTTAAGCTGCCAAAGCTTCGATTTGATGGCTTTGGGTTGATCATTGAAATGGTTTCAGCGAGACAATGAATACCGTAGGAGGAAAAATGCTTTAAAAAAAAAATTGGAACCAGATGTATTCACGGAAGGAAAATACCACGTACGAAGAAGAGAAGGTTTTGGAGAATGAATCAATTCCATTGGATATGGTGATCGTTCTTTTCTGCGGGTATTCGTCCACATGACGAGCACGCCAAAGAGTTGGGATTTCAATACACCAACGCGGTGGTGTATTTGTTGATGACTACCTATCAGTTATGAACGAACGAGTGTTCCTAACGTTTACACAACTGGCGAAGTGACTTTATACGGTGGTATGATTTATGGACTTGTCGTGCTCGGTTATGACATGGAAGACTTTGATGATGATACTGAACGATTATGCCAAACTTCACGATCCTATGAAATCAAAGTAAGCCTCCTGACGAACTTATCCTTTGTGTTAAAATGGACAAGCTCTAGGTGCTGATGAAACTCAAGAGAATTAAGCAATCTCGAAACCTACCATAATATTTGTTTTCATTAATCATATTCAAGTTTGGTAAGTTTTAGAACATCTTTTTTTTTTTAGGAGAAGAAAAGGTTCGATTTTAATTAACTTTTTAACTTTACAAGTTCGTGTAATAATACATGTATGTTGAAAGGCCAAATTCGAGAAACGATGGATGTTGTTCTATTGGTAAAGTTAAATCATGTACAAATGTGGGTTCGGGTTGATGTGGATGTCTTCGGACCGTCGCAGAAATATTTCAGTCGAAATTAAAGCATTATGACGAATGCTCATTTCAGCCTAACGCGTGCGGAGCTATTCCAAGTTGCTAATATAAAGAAGTAGGCCATTTTTAAAGACATCGTTCAAAAGTTGGCCTGCAACACAAACGGATTTCTCGATCCAAGGAAATTAAAAGTTGTTCCGGCCTACTTGAAAGACCAGCATCGACGTGGTTAACAGCAAATAAAGCCATATAATTAACATGCGAACCGAATTGTTGCCTGGACAGGAAATGGAAATAACACCGATTTTGTTGTCAAATTTCCTACAATTTTTCGATCCCAAGATTTGGACCATCAACAACCCAATGAATCTGTCGACGTCTATGCATGTTCTCTCCAGGAATTATACCGAAGGATTGAAACTCCAGCTTTCAATTATCCAGCTGCAATGAAAGCAAGAAGTTTAGTCAATGGCCTCCTACCTGAATTATATTAATGGTAAAGCCACATAATGGTCAAACCTGGGATGCTGCGCTTAATAGAGCAAAGGCTTACAAACTTACCTACCAAGACCAAAATGCAGTAGCGGCTATATGAATAATAAATATTTTTATATTTTTATATCATTATACAATAATATTTAAAGAATAAAACTAATAAAATTAATTTAATCATTTAATAAATAATTTAATAGGGAGGAGTGATTGCTCTGGATCCAGGCGTGCGTACATTATGATCTAAGTGAAATAGCTATTGAATGGGTAAAAAATGATATTAATAGAATTTATCGGCTTTCCCAGACGTATGACAAAATCCAAAGCAAGCATGACTCTATTCATGGAAAAGTACACAAACGAAAATGATACAATCTTCGCAAGTTCATGCTTCTTATACATAAAAAAATCTGTTGTTTTATTAATGATAGCCTGTGTCAAAATTATCGTATTATTTTGTTGCCAAAGTCTAAACATAAGGAATGGTTATACGTGGAAAGCGGCGGATTTATTCTAAGACTGCACGGATGATGTTAACATGGCCCCACTTCCGATTCCGCTAATATCTTCTAATAAGGTTCGTGAGCATCCATGATGTCAGGTAATTGTATAAGACATGGTAGTTTTCATCGAAAATTGGGTGGATCCAAAGTGCCTTTGCCCTAGTTGTGCAGCTAAGCTTGATCGGGATATCAATGGTGCTTGAAATATATTACTTCGCTATCTCACCCAGCTACATCCCAACCAAAACCAAGAGCCGGTTTATGCCGGCGCTGGGACCTACCTCTTGGATCTTCATGATCCTTTCAGAAATATGAGGTTTGATAAGGAATGTATAGGTTTAATTGTAAGCGTAAAGTCAGAACTTTAGTTCCTTTTAAAAGTAGTTTTATTTCTAATTGTCTATTAATTATTTTAATATCATTTTTTGAGTTGTTTAAGCAATAAAGAATTAAGTAATTTTATTATTGATTTAATAAAATGTATATATACAGTAAAATAGTAAATCGGCATAGCGATGCGGAATTTTTTTTTTTTTTAAGAAAACGTGACGTTTTTCACTTGTTGGAATCTTTAAAAACGTAGGTGTATACGATAATTACTCGAATGTGATTAGTTAAAAAAATTTTTCCGAAGCGAAATAAAACAAATATTCTCACTTCCAAAACTGAGTCTTGAGATGATCCACCTTCATTTCTAAAACTTTTGGAAGCGAAGGGTGCGAATCTAAAGGACGCAAAAACTAAAATCTAAAAAAAAAAAAAAAAAATAAAGAAATAAAGAAATCATTCGATAGTTGGTACAATAAACAATAATAAAATTAATAAATTTATTACATTAGTTTTTATTTTATTAAAATGCGAGTACAAAATGTGTTTAAGTACAAAATATCTAATTAAATGTCCATATATATTATAATTTTGTTTTAGAAATATAATACATGAGTCATAGTAAAAAAATTAAAATGTAGTATAATACTATTCATCCGAAAATAGGAAAATCTCAGGAATTACGATCCAATGTACGATAAATTGAAAACAATCTTGAATTTGATCTTGTCGTTTTAAAAGATGAACAAATCATTTTCTTGAACATTTTCTCTCTGTTCAAGCATCAATGATAGACGATTCCGTGCTTCGGCATTTCCTTTTTTGACGGCAAGATTAATTAACTCGAATGACTTTTCTTTATCGAGGTTTGTTCCAATTCCTTTACTAAAGCAATTCCCTAATTGAACTTTTGCATCAAGATAATCTTGTTTTGCTGCTCTCGCATACCATTCAAATGCAAGGAGTTCATTCTTTTCAACACCCAACCCGTAGAGATAGCAATTACCTAAACTATATTGAGCTACCTTGTTTCCATTCGCTGCTGCTTTGTGATACCAATAAAATGCCTTGTCAAAATCTTTTTCGAGTCCAATACCTTTTTCATAAAAGAATCCCAAACTGTATTGTGCATTGCTGCAATTCTGCATTGCGGATTTATTAAACCATTCAAACGCTTTAACCCCATCTTTTTCGGTAAATATTCCACCTTCGTAGAATCTACTTAATTTATATTGTGCGTATTTATTTTCATTTCCTGCAGCGATTTGATACCAAAGGAAAGCCTTTTCTAAATTTTTTTCCACACCGATCCCTTTTTCATAAAAGAACGCCAGACTGTATTGTGCACCATCAAAACCTTGCCCTGACGATTTTTCATACCATTCAAACGCTTTGGCTTCATCTCTTTCAACACCCCTTCCGTACTGATAACAATTCCCTAAGCTATATTGCGCGGCCTTATTTCCATGTATTACGGATTTCTGATACCATTCGAAGGCTTTTCCAAAATCTTTTTCAATGGTGATGCCATTCTCATAAAAGAACCCCACGCTATATTGCGCATCGTTGTATCCTTGGTTGGCCGACTTTTCATACCATTCAAATGCTTTGACCAAATCTTTTTCTACACCCCTTGAATTTTCATAAAATGAACCTAAACTGAACTGTGCATATTTGTTGCCATTTTTTGCAGATTTCTCATACCAATAAAATGCTTTTTTCAAATCTTTTACGACTGCTTTTCCTTCCTCATAAAAAAAGCCCAAACTATATTGCGCACTATTATAACCTTGTTCGGCGGATTTTCTATACCATTCGAATGCTTTTACCACATCCATCTCAACGTTCTTACCATTTTCATAGAATAATCCAAGGTTGTATTGGGCAACTTTGTTTCCATTATCAGCGGACTTGCGATACCAATAGATCGCCTTTTCCAAATCTCTCTCTATTCCTAGACCTTTTTCATAGAAGAAAGCTATCGTGGCTTGGGCTACTTTGCTTCCATTATTCACGGACTTTTGATACCATTCGAATGCTTTTTTCAAATCCTTCTCTGTGCCTTTCCCATACTGATAACAACACGCCAAACTATATTGTGCGTCACAATATTCTTTCTCGGCCGATAGTTTGTATAATTCAAACGCTTTATTCTCATCCTTTTCGATATACCATCCATTCTCATAGTATTTCCCTAAATTATGCAGTCCGGTTTTATTGCCATCTTCAGCCGAGTTTTGATACCAATAAAAAGAGTTTCCAAAATCTTTTTCCACTCCTCTACCCTTTTCGTAAAAGAAGCCTAATTTAATTTTTGCGGCTTTATTTCCATGCGCTACGGATTTTCGATACCATTCAAAGGCTACTTCGTAAGCTTTTTGCACCCCTAAACCATACTCATAAAAATAACCTAAGCTGTATTGAGCATCATTATAATTTTGATTAGCCGATTTCATGAACCAATTAAATGCCTTGTATCTATCCTTTTCGACGCCCCTCCCAAGGTGATAGCAGTTGGCCAGATTATATTGTGCCACCTTATTTCCATGTTCGGCGGCTTTTTGATACCAATAACAGGCTCTTTCCAAATTTTTTTCCACCCCCATTCCTTTCTCATAAAAAAATCCTAACTTATTCTGTGCGCCGTTATAATCCTGTAACGATGATCTTTTGTACCATTCGAACGCTTTAATGACGTCCATCTCAACGCTCCATCCATTTTCATAGAATCGGCCAAGGTTGAATTGTGCAATCTTATTACCTTGCTTTGCTGATTTATGGTACCAAAGTAAGGCATTGTTCAAATCCATTCCTACACCTATGCCTTTTTCATAAAAAAATCCTAACTTATATTGAGCGTCGGTGTAATCCTGTTCGGCCGATTTCTGGTACCATTGAAATGATTTTTCCTTATCCTTTTCTATTCCTTTACCATTTTCGAAGCATGTTCCCAGAAAATATTGTGCGAATTTGTTTCCGTTGTTTGCCCCGCTGCACATCTTTTCCATGATATCGTCGTCGTTTTGTTTTGTAAAGGACATTTTTATTAGAAAGTAAGATTTTATTATTTTTTTTCAAAAAAAAATAGGTGATGTTTTATTGATTATATTCTAAGATTGTGGAATTTTTATTTATTGTTTTGTTTTGATTTTTTTGAAAGTTGTGCAAAAAATTGATGAAATTTATAGAATTTTTTTTTTTTTTTTTTTATTATTATTATTTTTATTATTTAAATTTATTTACGGGATGTTACATTTGTTTCACGTTCTAGAAGTTGTGTCGCGCAGCTATCAATGGCACATAAAGAAAAAACCCAGGTCGATCCATTTAATTTAATGACCAACCGATCCTAAGCCATAAATGGGATGGGAAATAAACACGGGAAGGATAAATATATCCAAGCAATAAGCATTAAAATGACTAATTTGGTAATCGAGTGATACGATCCATTCGTCTTTTATAAAGAAATTTAAGGTTTGATGGATGGATTTCATTGATTGTTCATGCAATCAATAATCAAAAAATCTTTTATATAAACATGCCTAAATTTGGTTACAATAAATTTTTTTTTTTGTTAAGCTGAACACAAGATAGGCAATGTGCACGTAAGGGATGGTAGGAATTCACAGATGAAACGAGGATTAAATGAGAATGCATGGCGCTATCGCTATGTGATGTGCTTCGCATACAATTAAACAAGAAATATCTCAAACATAAAGTTTATCTTTCTCGTTTCAAGGAATAAATAAAAACAAAAAGCATTCTTTGACGATTGCTTCAAGATTATCCATCCTTCATGCTATTAACACAACGATCATGACTTCAACAAACCTTAAATTAAATAACGACAGTGCACTATGATGTAACGATAGATAATAGTGTTTCAAAATTATTTTGTCATGGGACAAGGGAAAAATCTTTCTGTATTGTTGAATAAAGAACTTACATATCAAATTCTCATATTCGTTTTAAAGATTTTTTGATTTAATAATATGCTATCGATAAAGACTTTGTCATATAAAATTAAATGCATCGCCCGTGTGATAATAATTGCAGAAAAGTTTAGATTGAAATAAAATTTTGTGTTCCAGAATTTGTTTCAGAAATTATTTCAACACAACGAGAAAAAAGAGCTGAGCAAATTTGTTGGGGAGCACGGCGTTAATTAAAAATATTACATTACGTAAATTTCCGTCAAATTCTTCCATGGAGATGGAATTTTCGTTCTTCCACTTGTGTTTCCAAAATAATAGAAAATTGGATAAATGAATAATCTATTGTCATGATATTTTTTATTTATTTTTTGGTTAATTTATCGAAATCTTATTTTAAAAATTTAATAACAAAATGAAACTCACAAACCGGTTAATTGTATCACAAATATTGTTCAATGGATATTGATAATACATAAATAATTTTCTCATTATGCAAGATTAAGCGCCAAATTTCTAATTTAATTTGCTATTTGTATCAATTTAATTTAATTTTTAATTCAACTTCCTTTTTTTCAAGGATAACAACTTGACAATAACTTTGTAAATAAACCTACTTTTGTGGTTTTATGCCATACCAACTTCTTTTTTTTTTCTGGTTTCATGCAATCCTGTATTTATTTTCTCCTAAAAAATAGCTATATGAGGAAAGCTTGCAATTTGTTAACGTTTCAAAACGTTATACCGAACAATTTCTACAATACTCAAATCCAAATTGAAGACATCCGTTGAATGCTACAATATATTTTGTATTCGTAATAGTAGAAGGAATGGAAGCGTCTGTCAATCAATGCCATTATAAAATAATACATTTGAGTGTATATCAATGGAAATTGTTGATTATCATCATTGTAATATGTCAATGGAATAAGCGTAGATTAATCCGTGGAAAATATGAATTTGGTAAATAGAGAATAATTTGCATAGACAAATATCATGTGTGCCATCGTTATATCTTTATGTTATCCTTTTAATGGTATTGCAGACTAAAAATCCCTGAGGTATCGACAAGTGGCAAAATCGAAATTAGTTTTGACATTTTGCCAATTTTTTTTTTTAAAGACAAAACCGCGAAAGTTTCGACGAGTGGCAAAAGTTGGCAAAATATTTGACAGGTGGTAAAATTTAGCAACTTATCAAATTTAAATTCAAGAAAATGAGGTTAAAAACGTTTAAATGATGACATTATTTTACAATTTTTTTGTTTCAGAAAAATTTGAAAAATATGACCATTGTTGCGTGCAAGAAAAAATTATCGACATTTGATGTACTTTAGAAAATTAAAAAGAAACCACTTCCGACATTTTCTAAGAGCTGGTTCAATTTTTTAAGGTGGGAAAATCGTGTAATATCTATGAAATCCATCAGAATTCGAATCCGATTGATAATTTGGTTCTTTTTTTTTCACCAATGCAACATATATATTTTTAATATATTTAAGATTCAAATCCTTGTAAAATCCAGATACGGTGCATCAATCTTTTTGATGGTTGACTATAAAATGTCCTTTCTTTTTCGCTTTTGTAATCAAATTATATTCTTTCTTTATTTTAAGGAAAAATCAAATATTTATTTTTTTTTATTTTTGGAAACTGTTCACATACACGAGGATTTTTCAAATAAACAACAAACTCCAAGATTTTATCCTTCCCATAAGTTCCAGATATAGTTCTCATAAACCTTTCCCAACTTTGATGGCTAGTTTGCTTCATGACGTATCTAGTCCACTTTGCAAGTCAATTTGGAATTAATCGATTGTGAGATAAATTTAGTTAACCGGTAAATTAACCGATTTAAGATTTTTAGGCGGTTTCTGATTGCTGTTAAAAAAGAATGACATGAAACAAATTGTAATCGATAAATCAGGAGAATAGAGTTTAATGCTCGTTCCATACCTTTTTTTTTTTTTTTTTAATTTTCTAGTCAATATCGTTGACAATGCTTATATTTATTTTGAACAAAACAACGGAATCTTCCAATATACTAGAGGTTGGAACCGGTCAAAAATTTCTTTAACCAGAAATAACGGTTTAAAATATTCGTTAACCGGTTAATTAACCAGTTATAAATTTGGCTAGAGTTAGACAATATTTTTGCAATCATTAAAATCTTAATTTTGGTCGGAAATTGAATTTCAGCCGGAGTTAAATTCAACCGGCTAAAAAAATCATTAACCGGTTAACATGTTAAAGTTTTAACCGGTTCAAATCTCTTCAATATACAGTATATATTCTAAAAATAATGTAAAATTCGACGCTTTGCCAAAGTGATTAGCACTGATATTGGATGGAAAGAAATTCAGCCATAAATCTAGAAAGACGGATACAAGCAATAGGGAATAATTGAAATAGGGGACCGAAGTAAAATTAATAGAAATATAGGGTGGACAGTACATAGGATTCGGCTGTAGTAAATAAAAGGGTCGGAAGGAGTTGAAATTTTTAGAAGGGGGAATAGAAGTGTCAAAGTGAAGGAAAGGATAGTATATAAATATATTGGAATTTATATTTTAAATTTTTGGTTTAAGTCACGAGATATGAAACAATGATTGATCTTTCGAAATAAAACAGAAATGATTCAATGTTCAAATTGGTCAATAAATTTGCTTCTTAACTATTGTTTCACAAGAAAAGTGTCATTGAGATATCATCACAATAATTCGACGTATTAAAAAAAAGAACCATAATATATGTGATAAACGTCAGTAAAAAAGAGAAATTGTCATCTAATTTAGTTCGACAAATAAAGGAAATTGACTGCCACCCTTTATATGTTTAATAGTTATTTGTAACAAGATCATGACACAATCACATTCATGGAGTTACTTTTATTTTCGATCCAAATGAGGCGTTTATTTATTTATAAAATAAACAATAAGTTAGAGAGAATCTGTCATTTATTGAAAATTAAAAAAAAATGGCCTTATAATATTAGCTTTATTTTATAAAATTAGAATTGAAACTGAAAATTGAAGATGCCAGGGATTCAGAAGATATTTTAATTAAGATATTTTGAGTTATATAAATATGTGATCTGAATTATAAGGTTAAACATATTTAACGAATTTTAACAATTATTAAAAATAGAATCCAATGGCATATTTTTTTTTATTAATTTGCATTTGTATGCCAATTTCTTCTTGAGAAGATTTTAATAATAAAAGAAACTGAAGTATTTATCATCATTAAAAAATCAACCAGTCCATAATTTAAACATATGTGGCGCAAAATTTTCAAAAATAAAAAGGAAATTTATTGCCCTCATCTATGTTTTCTGGTCATTTTTTGATCATTGTTTGTTTCTAAATAATATATAAATATAAAATTTACTTGGCCTTTACCAAAAATATGATAGGTTTGCTATTAAAGTCGCGTTACGAATCATATTATTTTCCTATGTTCGTAACTTGATTTCAATAGCAAACCACCCATATGTTCTAAATATATTTGGCGGTACGAGTCCACCTTGTATAAGAAGCCCTATTTCGAAAAATTTAAAGATATTAAAATTATTATTACATATATTTTATTTTTTATTATTTATCAAGATTGTCTAATCGCTTCTGAGGTTCGTCTAAACTCTTTCATCTATGATCTTATATACGCTTACCTTATACTATCGAGAGGTAAATTAATATTATAAATATATAAATAATAAATTTAAGTTAAACTATCATAATTAGGGTATTGTCGACTTTCTAAAAGAATGCAATTCATGGAAAGGTTTATGAAAGATCGTTGAAGTGTACAAGGCAACCTTCAGGTTAGGTTAGAAGTTGAAGGATGTTAAGAAAGTTATTGCATTAAATTTCGTTGCAAAAATCATCCATACCCCGATTAATAGAAGCTTGAAGTTCTTTTTTTTTTGCAATATCAACTTCGGCGTTGTACCTGAGATGAATGCTGAGCCAATCATATATAACGCAAGTTGATGGTTCATATCTTTAACGGATTTTTTATCCCAAGCATCATCGCTCTTAGTTCATTTATCGGTAGTGACTTTACAGTTGAGTTCATGAATACTGATGATAATCATAAAGATAAATTTATACTTAAATTGATTATGAATAAAGCAGCGGAATCCTCCAAGCGTTATATAATATACTCTTTCAATGTTGTGAAGTTCGACGATTTGCCAAAAGATCGAGATCGTTTTGCTTGGAGAAATTCCAGCCATAAGTATAGAGAAAGGTGAAATTGAAACAAATAGAGAGAGTGAAACAAAACAGAGGATTAGGCTGTAGTCAAAATTGAATATTGGAAGGAACTGAAATCTCTAGGAGAAGGGAGTTCAATATAAAGTTTTTTGTTCTAAAAATAAAGTAATGAGATAAGAAAACTAAATCAACGGAAATGAGTATATTTGCCACTTTGGGAAACATATGGATTTATTCGAAGAAAAAAACCATTAGCCTATCATAAATGTACAATAATTCGATGTAATTAAAAAGAACCATAATCTTGTTAAATATTTATATTTGTTTTCTTTGAAATACATTGAGTTATTATTTATTTTTCGCATCTAATAAAGGTTGAAGCATCATATAAGAATTTATTTGACCCTGCATTTTCTCTTAAACCAAATAATAACCTTATTAACAACAGCAGAACATTATTGTATAATGCAGGTTTGATCAAACTTAATAAAGTAGTAAATATTTTCTTTTCTTTTTTTGCATATCAGAATGTATTATATCACAACACTATTAATTAATTACATTGAGAATAATTTATACACCATTTCCATGTTTAACTAAATTATTATTATACAATTTCGTCTGTCATTTAAATTATTACTTAAATTCTACTTATGAATATTCACCACGAGAAGAAACAATATTCTTGCGCATGATAAGGTTTAATGATTAACTCCATAAGAAATTATATAGATTAACTAAAGAATTAGGAGGTTATCGATTCATGAACATAGTAAATAATATGATCCGTAACTTGATTTTAATAGAAATCCTCCCAATTATTATTGCTTTATCAATTTGGAAAGAAATAAAAATAGCTAATCTAATATTGGACATGAATAATTTTGAGTATCCATTATGCCCTTATAAAATATGTATATTCACGTAATATTCGAATGATCATTCATTTAAGGTAAAAGCATTAACTTTAAAAACCAATAAATTTCGTATAATAATATAATTGCAATGTCTGATTTATTGATAAAAATGGAACGTTTAAAATAGAACCTTGGTATTTAATATTTTTATCCAGAAGGAATTTTATTCACATGGGCAGCGCGAATGATTTAAAATAAATAAATCGATGACATGTGACCAATTTTAATCATTTTCCTAAACGAATTATAAATAAAGAAGTGGTTTCTCCACACCCGAGAACTTTATTCCTAAGGATTGTTAAAACGTTAAAATTCACTGAAAATAATGCACATATACTTTCAACTTCTGAAATTTATTACACATTTTTAATGTGTAGACTATGGTTGAAATAACCGTAATCTTATGCGAATGCACTTAAACAAGAACTTTTAAGATGTTCTGGATTAATCAAAGGTAAAAAATAATCAATTATTTATGAGAAGAAAAACACTAAAAAAAATCCGAAAAATGAGATAGACTATAAATAGAGCATATAGGTCAGCCACGTTTTGAATAAAAAAGTACACGTCAAAGCTTCCTAGGAGGTTTCACAAACCACAGGGAGGATTTTACACCATCTACTATTTGTTATTATTAATCATTATACGTCCATCTTTACCAATAAATTAATGCCAATTATTTATAGAATCATACAAATCTGTAACATCAAATGAACGAAATATTGGAATCTTAGATATTTCCGATTATACTGATCATCGAATAATTTTATAAAGGAAAATTAACTGCTTCCAATTAGCCATAGGAAGTCTTTGTGGATTTTTATGTAAATTAATTAGACCATATGCCTCATTTAACGCGCTTTTTTGATATTATCATTAATCATAGATATGCTTCATTTTGGTGGGAAAGTTAATTTTCATTTTTCATTTTTTATTGCATTGAAAATAAATGCAAATATCAATTTTTATGCACTAATTTTTTTTCTTTTTTATAGAAAAATTCCCATATGGAAATTTTACTTGTAACGAAATTGCAACCAAAATTATTACTCAATGACGAGTTCAAACAATATATTGGATTATTAAAATAAAAGAAGAGAGGAAGCGTAGTCTCTAAAACAGCCAAAAATTAATAATCTATTCATTAAAATGTAAAAATTTTTTTTTTTTTTGCACCTGCTGACCGAGATGTTTCAGATATATATTTTTTAAACCTTTTTTTTTTAAAATATTCAGAACGCAATAGCTATTAACTTTCTGTGTCGGAGTTTGAAGTATATTATTGTAGATTTATTCTTCATAACTAATTACCAATACATAAGAAAATGTATAATAAAGGTACTAGATTGATGTAATAACGTATGACATGTCGTTGTACCGTCATCATTATATATATAACGCTGCATTTTAAAAGTTTTCTTACCTCTTTCTCTCTTTCTCTCTAAGGTTTTTTTAATTTTCATTTAAAGTTATCGCACCATCATGTTATATTGTCTAGTTCTAGGTGAACATCCTGAAGAAGCGTTCGAAGTTGAGGATAATAAATTCGAAAGTATCTCGAAACTTGAGGATGTTTATCTGGGAAAAGATTCCAGAAATCGCGCCTGCAAGAAAACTGAAGTTGTGGCAAGTTGATATCTTTGTCGAAGCTTATGAAAAAATGAAAAACTGAAAGTACTTTTCGACACGCCGCCTCACGAAATTAACATTATAAATCAACTCGGGGTAATAGGCTAATTAATACTAATAAACTTAAAGATTACTTTCCTGATCCTGCTCTCGATAGACATATCCGAATCATTATTAAAACACCACCCAATGTTACTCCAAATTTTTACCTTCTGAACTGGAAATTTTAAGTAAAATATACTGATCTCATATTTTTATGTCGCGTCTTTCAAGGCATTACACAACGTATATATCTGCAGTTAAATAAATAGTTTGAGCATTGGCCTTGTTTCTATATCCTATCCTAACTTACTGCTATTGATATATAAATAGAAGTGGTTGATTGAAATGATGTTAATTCAATTTATAACTGGATAAAATCTTTGAAGCGTCCTGATGACATTAAGATACCCAAGGTATTTTTTATATCAAAACTCTTGTCCTGTTTTCTTATTTGATCAGTTAGTGAGTACAACAGGTACTAACTTTCCTTTCCAAGGTTGTGATGAGGCAATAAAAATATTATTGACAGGAAATGAAGTGAAGAATGGAATTTATCAAAATTTAAGGAACGCAGTGGAAAGGACCGAAACAATCATCTTAGCTAATGGACCACGAACAGAGCAAGAGCCGATTCCTCCAAGAATTACCAACTTTACTACGCAATCAAGCTCATAAATATTTGGACGATGATGAACTTCTAAATATAATAAAAGATCATATGTTTGTCATCACTGTTTCCTTTGGCAATGGCTCTGGTGTATCCATTGGTCAAACATCAATTACACTTCGAATACTCTATGACACTTTATTTCTGGAACTTAGAATATGAAGATTTTATGAGCATGTTTAGAGAAAAAAGCGCTCAAAATTACAGATGCACTTAATATTGTTATCAAATATGTTAACAGCGATAGGATGTAGGAAATTTTATAAAATTTTTCGTCCTTGGTGTTGACGAATAAATGTTTTGCACGATTTTATTAAGAATTTAGATCCTAAAATAAATACAGTCGATTGTACTGTACGTGCTGTATAGGACGACTAATTGTTCGATTGGAAATATATTTTATATACCGATCTTGGCTGAAACAATTCAAGGTCCTCTAGAAGAAATGTTTAAATTTTCGACGTATCGATTTCAACCGCTACCACTTCGCCATCTTCGAGATGAGAAGGCGTGGAAGGTTAGCGAATTTGTTGCTTCTTCTGAATATCATCTGGCGAAATAAATAAACGGAGACAGCAAAAACGGTACTTTTCATCTCTGTATCAGGGCAAGTTCAGTCTCTGGAATTATTCTAAGCATTATCAAAGCAAATCAATAGCAGGGTGAGGTGGATTAAAAAAAATAATGTCATATGTCAGGAGTGAACTTAAATGTCTATATCCGTTTAAGGAATTTGCTACTACCATAACACAAACTATTGCGCGTGCTATCATTAATATTCCTGTGGAAAAAAGGATGATGGAGGTGGAAATTTAACTTATGTCGATCTTTCATCAAAGAGCATTCTAAATTTGGAATCGACATCAGATGGCCTTTTTTATGTTCGCATGCCATGCCATATATATGGGTGTTATTAACTTCAATTAACAAACCATTTGAATCTTGGAAAGTAATTTTTGACAGGAATCTCGTGTTTTGTGGCAGGAATTTGCAGATTTCAATGTGCGATTTTGGGCTTTACGTCTTCGACTTCTTTCGATATTGGATAAAAATGTATTTTAACCGGCTATTAAAGATTTTTGGCTGGTTCCATCCTCCACAGATTTCAGCTTCCTGATGCATATTCTATAAAATATCATGAAATGAACTTAAAGACCAATAACCTTTTACAACTCAACAAGAACATTGCCACCTGTCACTGTGTTTAAGAACTGGTCAGGTGCTCCTTGTGATGTTTTCTTTTTTCTGAATAATTGTCTTTTTGCAATTCACATGTCTAAACAACCTCATGATAGATAAAGTGTGCACTAAAACTGAAGCAGTATTCAAAACATTAAAAGAAAAAATTCCTGGTATTAAGACTTGGATTCTTCTCATATGTATAAATGGAGATAAGACGGAAAAT